TAAGAAAAGGGCTTATGAAACATCTGGAAGCTGTGCAGACTACTAGAAAGAACAAGAAGTAGTTCCTAAACAAGGTTAGATGAATGTATCTTGTGACACCTGTACTATTTAATTACCTGTTTTAAATCTGAATTGGTTTTAAAATCTGTTATTTGAGTCTTGCTCATTGTTTGAGACCATCCTTAGCCTATTTAAAGATTTTTTGTTTGTTTTCTAAAGGGAGGTAAGAGAAGTAGGAAGCTTGGTTCAGCTCAGTTGGTATTGGGGCTTTGGTTTCATAGGCTTCCCAAGGTGACATAGTTGATTACATGTGAAAGGAGGAGATCTTGCTCCCCATACCCTGTGGTGATTTCCATAGTCCATGAGCTGAATCAGCCCCCTAATGCAGTAGGAAACTACCTGCTTTTTGGGTTAACCTTTAACTTGGTGGCTGAATCAGCTGAGTGGGCCCTTTTGGGAAGTGCTTTCCAAGATCTGGAGTACTTTCAAGGGAGGAAATTGGATGTAGACAGATCAGTGAAAGCAAGGTACCAAAGGGGGAGTATGTCTTAATCTCTGTGTGTTATGAGCTGGTTGATCACGCTGTCTCGTGCAGCAACAAGAAGAAAAATACAGTTCTGTGAGTTGTCTGAGTTAATCCAATGTTTATCCACTGCCAAAACGGGTGGACCTGGTTACTACTTGTCTCAGCTATGAGCTTCTGCTTCTTAGCTGTCAGCATTAGTGCTTGTCTGATCCTTCACAGAGTCAGTTCAGCTCATGAAGATGAATTAAAAAAACCAAACCAAACAAATATCAGGTATGGTCAGAAAAGTGTAAGAGCCATTCAGAGTAAGGAGGTGAAACTGTGTGGGAAGGAGTGAGTTTCCCTGTCAGAGGCAGCTAGCAGATTAAAGATACTTGTCTTCAGGATTCAGTTTTGATACCCAGGTTGGGATGACTACTACTGCTGTTCTTTCCTCTGTCACCTGTCTTGGGCTGTAGCTTTGGGCTTTTGTGCAAAGTAAGGAAATTGTTGTAGCCCGACCTCCCCTCTTTTTTGTGGCATTTTTAGTTTTGAGCCAGATCAGCTTTCTAAGACATTCAAGCATCAGTGAAAAGAACAGGACTTGGAGGAGTTGGTTAGATTGGTTTAAATTGTTGTGGATCCTTTTCTTCTGGCTGTAATCTGACAGTAGGTGAGTTTCCTCTAGTGGTAAGAAAAGCCTGGAAGTTTTCCTTACGTTGACAGTAGTGCACCTTTGACTTTGCAGCTGACAGCTGAACTTTCCTTGCCCTATTCACAGGGAGTCACAGGAGCTGAAAGAGGAGAAGGAAACAAGTCAGCTTTCTTAGCAAAAGCCATGTAACTGCTGTGGTTCTGGAGCTGCTTTTTTAATTGCAGTGAGTGCAGCCTGCTACTGAAAAGGACATCCCTTGCCTTTGCGATATATTTTGTAGCCCTAGTCTCATGCACATACTTAGTGTTTTGAGTGACTGTAATTTTATGCTGGATTATTTTTTTTGGTTTAGCAGTGACTTAAGCAGTGACTTAACCTTGTGAGTGAGAAGGGAGAGGTTAGCTTTACCACTTAGCTGTTCTGGCTTGCTGAACAGTGAGATGAACACTAATGCTGATGTAAGGATGGGAGGTGTTGGAGTGTGACTGGGCCAGGGTGGATGATAGCAAAGTTTTGGCAAGGCTTTGTCTAGGGAAATTAACTGCATAGTGGCACCCAGATAAAGAGGAAGCTGTTAAGGGGGGCAGAGGAATTTGGAGAATCGGCTCAGGCTGGTCATTTGGAATTCAGAGCCGGAGGGTAAAACTAGCACAGGTTCTACTTCCTATCACTGATTGGGTGCTACCAAGTGATCCTAGATCTGGCACTTGCAATGCTCCCCTCTGAGCTCATAATCCATTGTTTTAATTTGTTCCTATGCAAGAGCTGTTATTTACTGTGTTTGCTGGGGAAGTGTATCCAAGCTCTGATCATTTCTTGTTTTAAGATACTGAGGTTTTTTTTTTTCTCTGGGGTTGGTTTATCTGAAGCTATATTAAAGTAATTGTGGCAGTAAAATGGAGAATGAGTTGATAAATAACTGAATCTGTCCCTTTTGTGTTCTACAATTGACTATTATAAGACATGGTCAACTGCTTTTCCTGTAGTCTCTGCCTCATTTCAAGTATAAGATTTACAGTGCTAAGTGAATGAGATACTTGGTAAAAAGCCACTTTGCTCTTAGAGTTAACCAGTATGGTTACTTTAAACCATTTGTATGCCATGGAATTAGCTGCCATGTAACTGTTAATTGATCTTTGCAGCATCTGTTTATGTCACAAGGCGATAAACTGTTTGGGAGTTCATATACAGGTCCTGTTCTTGATGCAGGTTCCTGACTCTGTCTATGATCACAATCTGCTCAGGCTCTGGAAGTGAATGGCCACAAGCTGTTCTCATAAGAGCTTTCCTGTTACGAACTTGAAATGTCTTAAAACTATAAAATTAGAACAAAATATTACTATTAAATGTAGCCAATAACATAAGTACCATCTAAAATGGACTATAACCTAAACTTAACAGGCACTACAGCTTTGTTTGCAACTTCTTGAACCTCTTTTCCAGTCAACAACAGTATAAAACTTAAGGACTTCCAGATGTTTTTTTTCCTGGGAGTTTCTGAAGTAGCAGGAAT